CAGCAGTTACGAAGGTTAGAGAAACGGCGAGGCTCCATTCCTCGTTAGCGACTGTGGACAAACATCAATTCTCATTTAACGCTTAATTTTGTTGGCGCCGCAAGTTAACTTAACAAATGTTCCTCGGCCTGGTGCACGGGGCGTATGCGTAATGTTATTGTGAGGTTGCCCGAGGCGTATGCGTAATGTTACTGTGTCATTAATATTGAAATGTTTTATAGGGTCAAGAGATAGAGATAGAGATAGAGATAGAGATAGAGATAGAGATAGAGATAGAGATAGAGATAGAGATAGAGATAGAGATAGAGATAGAGAGAGAGATAGAGATAGAGATAGAGATAGAGATAGAGGATAGAGATAGAGATAGAGATAGAGATAGAGATAGAGATAGAGATAGAGATAGAGATAGAGATAGAGATAGAGATAGAGATAGAGATAGAGATAGAGATAGAGATAGAGATAGAGATAGAGATAGAGATAGAGATAGAGATAGAGATAGAGATAGAGATAGAGATAGAGATAGAGATAGAGATATAGATAGAGATAGAGATAGAGATAGAGATAGAGATAGAGATAGAGATAGAGATAGAGATAGAGATAGAGATAGAGATAGAGATAGAGATAGAGATAGAGATAGAGATAGAGATAGAGATAGAGATAGAGATAGAGATAGAGATAGAGATAGAGATAGAGATAGATAGAGATAGAGATAGAGATAGAGATAGAGATAGAGAGAGAGAGAGAGAGAGAGAGAGAACATTTGAAACTTGATCTGCGAATGGATTTCTTGCCCTTGACTAGCAAATTCCGAAGATTCCTGCTTCTGTCTGTTACATACATAGGCACAAGCTTGCAATGCCCCTTTTACTTGCTTTCAATGGGTATAGCCCATAAAAACAGCAGCTAAAAATACACCCATAAGACGATGAAGTCTTAACCTTGTGCCCACTCAATGCCATTGAATAGAAAATCAATGCAATATCATGAGCCCATTGGCATGTGTGTCGTCATTTGTGTGTGTGTGTGTGTGTGTGTGTTTATGTGTTTATGTAAAGAAAAAAAGTGCTTGATATATGACACCTAACCTTTTGCGTTTGGCATTGAAATTTGGCTCCAGTGGCTGGCACAAAAATAGCCGGGCCCAAATTGTTGCCTGTTCTTGTATTGTTGTTGGGCGGGTTAAGAGCTAATTGCACTTTGTTTTGTTGCATGCCCCCTTCAAATGGCGGCCATGTGTGGCTGGGGATGGCATAAGAACACGTCAACAAACAAGTCAACAGTGCCCCACTGCCAAGCCACAAAACCCATTGGCAGCTAACCAAACAGAGGCAACATTCACGAGGCTTGCAACCACAGCAACCACCCAACTGAGCAGGCAGGCACTCAAACACACAATGTCTTTCTAACAGCTGGATTCGCTCAAATGCCCAATCTGTGTGCTGGGGCAACTGCCTCTGGCTCTGACAGTTTGCTCTCTTATATGCTGCATGCTGCATGCTGCATGCAATTGTTGCTTCTGGCCAGACAATGGCCAAGTTCATGCATAAATATGAATCGGATGTGCCAACAAATAACATGTAACACGCGCGGCACAGGATGCCGGATATCTGCCATCATAGCATAAATGTGTGGCACAGATCCAAAGAACTGATTTGATCACATAAAGAATCGCGAATTGTCTGCTTTCAAGAAATTGAACTACTTAGTCTGCAACCATGTCTATCAAAGTGAAAGTACTTCAACTTTTTGTTCTACACCCATCTCTTAACAAAACATTACTTTAAGGCTCTGACAAACAGTTATATTACACTTGAAACACATAAAATCCTCAAGGATTATAAGCTTTTCTAAGCTTAAATTAAGTGAATTTTTCAAAAATGTGCAATAATACACTAAATTACAAAAGCGTATATTTGAATTGAACCTTTTTTTGTCCAATGAAAATATGAATGTAAAATGTATAATGATGCTCTATTTTTAATCTTTCTCAATTGTCCTAGCAAAGGAGAATTACATTCTGGATTTCAAATACTAAAATAAGATTATGAGGAAGCAAAAGACAAGAATGGGTTTGAACCAACTCCCTTTTCTTTAAAGTTTCCATTAAGTTGCTGATATTAACTTGTTTTTTACCCAATCAAATCGGCTTTAGGATAAAAATTTAATATTGACATATCAGAAAACCTTTTCAATTCAAAGCCCTTTTGCAGTTAGTTAGTTATTAGCCTTTATTGATAGAATCTACAAAAATAAAGCTTGCAATTAAAAGGCAGACTTAAATAGACTCTGAACTAGTATTGAGCCGTCCAATCGCGTTTAAACTTGGCAAAACTCAATATCGTTTGGATTTTTGTTGCACTTGCGTTTACTTTCACTATCTTCCATTCATTAGCTGTCATTGGACTTAAACATGGGCTGTGGCCAGGTCGTGTGCACACTAATTAAGGATGCGGCAGAAGCTGCCAAAATTCCAAGACAAACAAAACATTGAAAATGCTGGCGAAATTGAATGGGAGCGCACTCATCCTGTTCGCGTTGCCGCGATTCTTCATTTATTCATTCTTGGCTGGGCAAGGAACTTTTTAATTAAAAGTAAACGCTGCGGCCATTAGCTGACCGCGAACAGGACTAAAGCGATAAAAAAAAAAGTAAAAGACATGGAGAGAATAAGTTGTGCCACGTTTGGGGCAGCAATTGCAGAAGATTTGTGGGACGTCAGCAGTCATGCTGTCGTGCTGCCACGCCCCAACGCCCAGTTGCTGGGGCACGCGATTGTTGAGTGAATGCAGGGCCAACAGCTACGCCAACAAGAAGGACCAAAGGGCCAAAGGTACAGCAGAACGACTCAAGGATTTATACGCAATTTGCATGCAAATCGAGCTGTAGCTTCTAGTAAAACAAATGGGCTCTGGGCTCGAGGCCGGCCCGGGTCCGGGTCCGGGTCCGGGTCCTCAGCTGGGTAGGATTACGGTGCACAGTTTATTTAGCTGGACTTAGGACTGGTCGACACAGATTTATTGCCCAACAGCAATAACAAAAGCCCGCGCAATGCCATCAAATTGATGCTTATTTAACGGCAAGTTAAATGGGAAAAGAAATAAACTGCGACAATACGCGCATGTTTCAACCGTAGCCTATTAATAAAAGCAAACCTCATGAGTTACTTTCTTAACAGAAGTCGAAGCAACTTAAGGAAAAATCAATATACAACTCACAGTTACTTAATTCGCAGCAAATTGCAATAAAAAGGACAGCAATTCTTTTCAAAATGCTCGACTGAACTATACCCTAAAGTCTAAGAGCCAAGTATGGGTAAGCATATGAGAAGACTAGCAAGCTATTTATCCAACTTGGTCTTCCATCAATTTTAGCCACCGCTCTCTCAATTTCTAGACTAAGTAGACCACAGCTCAAATTATATCTTATCATTATATAGTAAACGATTCGATCGGATTGAAAAATATAATAAATAAACTTATATCAATCTCCAACTCCAACAAAAATAATACCAATATAGAAGGTTCACGATGATATGCAAATTTCTAGATTTTATTTGAATCTTCTAATAAAATCCAATTCACGTTTCCACCTATTTTTCAGCAATTGAAGTGAATTACGCCCAATTCCTCAGAGTCACATTAAGAATTCTTACAACATTTCCTAGAGCTGTGTACAAGGTATTTACCAGTCGAGTATTTGTCAATTTTGGTTTAATTAAGCCCATTTTTTGCGATTATGATAAGTGTTGAATCCCAAAATAAATATGCAGCGGTCAGTTGGTTAAGCACTTCTTCGCAACTTAATTAATGAAAACGCCATTATAATTAATGGCTCACATTTGCAGGCAGGATATTTATAGCCTTTTTTTTCTGTCTCTCTTACTTGCCAAGCTGAACAAGATAAACAACTCCCAAGGCGCATCGGAAATGGACTCTGAGAGTGCTTCAACCGAATCGCAAATTAGGTCAGTTCTACACAGAAAGCCGTGTGTTGAGCGAGCCCTTGGGCTTTTTGGCCAAAACCCAAAGCTGATTATTAATTATGAAAGCCGTTTATATGTAGCTCGGCATAGGCAGCGGCATGTGTTGCCAGGTGCATGGGCAGGGAGCGGTAACTGCTGCTTGCACGGCCTACACGGCGTATGAGCAACAAATGCGACATTTCTATGAAATATTTGATCGATTTGCAAGCATGGGTAAGTTTTTAATACTCTATATTTTGCATTTCCCCTGCAGAGGGCATTATAATGTACTCGAGAAGTGTGTTAAACTATATATATTCCTGATCAGTATCAACAGACAAATGGATATCTGTTCGTCTGTTACCTTGCGATTCTCAAAAAACGTAGGTTAACAACGTCATTTTGTTGCAGACTGTACATATATCGGAATCTGAACAATCGGATCACTGCATTATATAGCTAGCATAGGAACAATAGGTCCAAATATAACTTATTGCTGGAAAGATATTTTGATATTTATTATTTTTACTATTCTACTATCTAATATGGCTACCATAAGAACAATCGGAAGAAAATTAAGTCCTTTTGATTTATCAAGATATCTTCAGCATTTACAATCTTGTCAAGATCGGACCACTATATTAAAAAGATGCCATAGAAATGATCGGTTAAAACTGAAATTCAAGTATGAAAAGCTACTCTTATTTAAAATATCTGAAATATTATTAACAACTAACGAATATATCATATTTTGGCCATAGGAACGATTGGTCGAAAATAAAGTATGATATGATTTTGTATTTCAAGATATCTGAACCAAACTTGAATTCTAACAGCTTCGCTATGCAGCCTCCCTCTACCAAGCATATCAACTCCTATATGTCATATGGAAAGAATCCTTGGAAATCAATGTATTTGGCCTTATATGGTCTGCAAGGGTATTAAATGTTTGGCGTGACCGAAGATAATCGTTCTTTGGGCCGCAGATTATATAAAGCTGCGACAGGCAAGTTGTGCGTATTATTCATGTTATCCTTACCTTGGGTGAAAAATAATAAATTGAACGAAGACAGCGCTAGCACGGAGCTGGATGTGGAAGACATGCTTCCATATTACACTTTACATAAGCGTCCGTGCACGAGCCGCGTTGCCGGCTGAAAATCAGCAATTGGTACTAAACTAAATAGGAAGCGAAAATAACAAAAACAAATACAACAAATGGTAGTTCGGGCCAACAGCGGGGGGGGGGGGGGGGGGGCGGACGGGCCGAGGAGGACGCGCCAAAGGCTGACACACGGCTTGGCACGTCGATAGCTGTTGTTTCAGTTGTTGTTGTTTCTATTGTTGCTGTTGTTGTCGCCTGGCTGTTGGCTCCCTTTGACGTAACTTTCACTTCGCCATTGGGCGAATTCAACATTCAGCACAAGACACACACACACACATACCAAAAAATAAAAAAAAAATTGCTTTGAATCAATTAAACAAATGACAAAACAACCTAAACAAAAAAAAAACAAAAACAAACAAAAACAAACAAACAACAAAACTAGAAGGAGGAAATAAACGTTGTTGTTGCTTTTGGCCTTTCAGTGCGTTCAACTTGTGCTTTACAACGGGACTGACTCTATGGTTGTTGTTGTTGTTGTTGTTGTTATTATTATTATATTTGTTGTTATTGTTTTTATTATTAATGCTGTTTCAGTTGTTGCTATTGCTGTTGCTCGTGTTGTTGTTGTTGGCTGCGCGGCACGGGCGTCCGTTGCTTTCGAGTTACGTTGCTCGACTAAACTGCGCTGGCTGTTTAGCCTCGTGGCCGAGACTCTTTAGCTTCGGCCTGGAGACCCGTCGCCAAAATGCGAATCCGAATGCGAATGCGAATGTGAATGTGGGCGTGTGCATGTTAGCATGTATTGGTGCTTGTGTCCTATGGGCAGCACTCCTCTTTGACACTCACGCGCATGCCGCTAGCCACGCAAAGGACGTGCGCCCCTGTGAGTGTGTGTGCGAGTGTGTGTGTGTGCTGCCTGGGCTTAGTTGCCAAAATATCTGCTGCTGTTGTTGATTTTGTTGTGGCTGTGATAATTCGCAAACATCGCGTGTCTTGATCCATGCCAGAAAATTGTACAGCTCCTTAACATTCAGGCGAACTCGATAATTATTTGTCCCACTTCCTGACGTAATTATTTAGTTTCTAGCCAAGATTCGAAGTTCTTTTCACAAAACACACACACGCGATTGTGCTTCGTCCACAAGTTCTCCACTATGTCATTAGGATTCTCAAAAATAATTTCAGTGTCGAAACGAAGTATGGTAAGTTGATCTGGATCTATGTAAGCCATAAATAAACTGCTTAGAAAACCTAATCTGATTATCGACACATCGATTACGAAGTATTTACTTGAAATTAACTCGACATGCGTGTGCGTTAGCAAAATTAAGTTTCAAATATCTGACTCTAGATGTTTTATTCCCTGAGACGAACAGCCAAGCAGACACAGACAGACATTATTATCACCTTGGCTAGATAGACTCGGTTGACCCAGTATACAATAACTTCCGACTGTTACATATGCAGAGAACAACTACCTTGTCTAATAGGTTTTTTGCATATTCGCGAATGCATCTTAACTGATCTCTAAGAAAGCAAGAGAAAATTCTAAATTATTAATTAATGTAAATAAAGTTGGGTACATAATTCTGTAATTAAATCAATCTTCAAGCACGGCTGATACCAGCTTGGCAAATATTGTAACCATTTTGTACGTATTAGTTTATAGACATATGAGAAGTGATTGGATAGCATATTATAAGTATCTACAGATACCATATAAGGATAATGACATATTAATGTAAGGTTGGTAGTACTTATAAGCTCCAGTTTATAAAATGTTTAAAAAAAAATTCCAAGCACTTTCAAAAACCTGTCAACTATGGCTTAAAATGTCATTTTATAACGTAATTAAATTGAAGCAAATCGTAGCTACAGGATTTTATTCTTGAAGGCGTTACAATTAAATGAAACTTCGTGTGCAGACTTGTGGTTTGTTTATATTTGAAATCACGTTCAAATTCTGTATAATAAATATATGAGTTATTCTTAATCAAGCTACATAACTTATCAGTCTTACGATCGTTTTTGTTGAAAATTATTCAACTTCCAATGTGCTTTTGTTAATCTTCTTCTCAATATTTTATTCAATTTAAACCGAGCACGAAATGCTTGTTAGCATTCATTTATGAAATATTGCACCATTTGATTTTAATATATTTAATAATTCTTGGTCGAGGTAAAATTGTCCAATGCTTCCTAATCTGCTTTGTCGCGATATTGCTTGCCCAAGCCTTCGTAAAGCTCTAAGTGAGCTTTGCTGTAGGTAAGTCTGCAAAGGATGTAGTTTATGAAAAGCCCAACGATTATTTGTTTTTAACTTTTTTTCTTGCTTTATAAGGTTGCACTTTAATTTCATTATGTCAGTAGACTAATTCATCTATTTATATGCTAATAATTAAAATATATTTCATATAAGTAATACAGGCAGCAAAGAATTTACGTTTCGAAATTTTTTATTCGAAATTAAATTTTAAAACCTTGTTAAAATACGCATATACTCCGCTTTGAAAGGCGTGAGCATTTACTGTACTGTACATATATATTTTTATATATATATTTTTTAAAACGTATATTTTAAGATATAAATATATAAATATCTATTATGTTCTCTTTGCAAAGGTTCTGTGTGTTTGGATGCATGTTCTTTAAAGAGCATTGCTCGAAACTTTAATGTGAAAAACAGAAATGATAAAAAATAATACAAGTTCCAAATACTAACCAACTGCTATGTGAGTTGTAAATGCATACAAAACTAAACGCTGGCCTAATTTAAGTATTTATAATAACTAACTATAGCATATAGTATATGCTATACAAGTCATGCATTCTGTTCTGGAAATTGAGCACATATTGTATTGGAAATGGTATTTGATTAGGTTGTTTTCTTTACACTGTTAGCTTCGACACGCAAATGCCGAAATGCCAGGCATTTAGATGCATGCGAGCATTTTGTTAACAACAAAGGTTAGCCAACTGGTATATAATTTACTATTAACTTTAAATTATAAAATAAAAGCCAAGTTAGATGAGGTGGCTTGTGTTTATAAGCATATCCGTTTATATTTGTGTACGTGTGTCAATAGGGCGAAATTACGGTCTTGCTGTCTCGTCATCGATTAAGAGATCTTGATTATTAACGCCGTTTGTTCACGCGCTCTATATACTTAGTTTTGTTGAGCGCACGATTTCCAGCATTGGGATCCATCATCCGTTTCCAATCGGTCTGCCCAACAACAAAGCCAATTGCACGCATCTTTTTCTGTGCACGCTTCTCCTCAATGTCCGCCCAGCGCACCTAAAACATTTGTAATAATTTAACAAAACTTCGTATAGTATAGTTGGATTGTATGTACTTACGCGTTTCTTGCCATCAGCACTGCCAGTGGGCGGTTCCCATTCATCCAATTGCAAGTAGTCGGCCATGCTTGCGGTCTTGCGCTTTTGCATTAACCGCTTTGTGCCATCGAGACGTGCTGAAAGAATAATTTAACCGATATTAGGCATGAGTGGGCAATGGCTGCTTTTAACTTGACGGCACTTACCCAGATTTTCCTCCGTGGTATCATTTTCCCACTTGCTTTTCAGAAAGCCGCACTATACACAACCAACACACATGTCAAAAAAAATTTGTACAATAAATGAATATTGAGATTTGTATCAGCAAATGTAATACACAAATAGGCACAGCACACAGACAGCACAGGCCCCAAAAGAAGAAGATTATGCCCACAATGGTGCAAACTAAACCATTATATTGGTGAATGGTCTGAGACTTACATCGTTGGCCGCATCGGCGCTGTTGCTGTCCTCATCCTCGGGGTCGTTAGCGGCAACGGTGGCAGCCTCCTCAGCGGCAGCGGACTCCTCACCATTGGCATTATCATCCTGAAATGAATAAGCCGCAATAAATCAACAGGGGTTTGTTTGACTAGCCTTTCTTTTGCCATTTACTTAGGTACTTAATTCATATTATTTGCAATTCAAGTAATTCGATCAAATTTGAATCGATTGATATATTGGTAGAACGCAATGCTAATTGTATTATTAATCAGATGTACAGTTTGATAAGTATGTTGCCGTGTATAAGCATATATTCAAGATATACAACTACATAAATTTTGAATGGACAACAGAATTTATGTACGTATTAATGCAATATATGCATATACTATACACACATATGCATATATATATTGTTGAGATATAAATACATGTATATAGGAGTAGCACATACAATGCATTCGCAAATAAAGTTAAGTAATTGAGAGATGCTTAGATTAGAGAGTTGTCATGGACAGTTGCTTAAGTATGGCATTGCCAACTAAATTATACTCGTGCTTAGAAACTACAGCTGTTCGAATATATAATTAAACTATATAATTATAAAGTATATATAAACTATGCAGTGTGCGCAGCCTCGCACCGTCAGTGTCATACACACTGTCAGCCCCAATGCCACACTCACACACACGCACACCCATTCAAAAACAAACACACACTCAAAATCACTGTAGGCCAGCCAAATGGACTGTGCCTAGGCAGTGAAATGCCTTAAGCGCATTTGTGCCTGGAGTTGTGGCCGTGAGTCGTGGTTGGGCCATGGGCTGCATTAAAGCATAGTTACCGTTGCCATATTCTCAACATCTTCCATTTCAACGACATTCTCCAGCAGAGACGACACATCCAACTTAATGTAGTGCAATGGCGTTGTACACCAATTGTCTAGAACAGCACGTATGTCTTCTTCGCTCCGTTGATGACTGTTACGGCCCAAGCACGTCTCCACATCACAGTGCATGTCAACTATGTACGGCTGTCGAAAGAAATAATGGGTTCAATCAGCATCAAAATGAGCGAGACAGCATGATAGAGTGGGTGTGAGAAGAGGCGTATATATGAGAGATAGAGAAAGGCCTGCGTACCACAAAATTTGAGTCTTTGGCATGACAGTAGAATTCGTTGAGTGTACGCAGAGAGTTGTTGTTGCAGTCGACAATTATAAAATCGTAAAGATTATCGCTTAGCGTCTTCTTATACGATTTAATCAAATATTGCATATAAGTATCTTCCATAGCATCATCATACTCATAGAGTAGCTCCTTTTTCGGTATCTACAATTATAAATGTA